AGTTATTAATTTGAGGTTATTTTAGTAATTTACCACTTTAGTAAGGGTTATGGGATTATATGAGAATTTTTTTGGTGTTGGAGGTTGGTATTTGAGAGAAAAGGTTTTATAAAAATTGGATCCTTTTCCATAGAACAAAATCGGCAGATTCGATCGATCGAATAGTTACTGTTTTTCGAAAATTGATTCTGGGTTTTCGAAAATGGCTAGTGAAAGTGAATCAGCGACAGATCCATGTAAGATCAAAGGAGTTCTTGTTCATGGAGGAAGATATATACAGTACAATGTTTATGGAAACTTGTTTGAAGTCTCGAACAAGTATGGTCCTCCTATTCGACCAATCGGTAGAGGAGCATACGGCTTTGTCTGGTACGAATTTCTTACTTTTTTTTTTTTTTGGATTTGATAAAGGTTATGACCTCAAATCATCATCTTTTGAATTGGATGATTGATTTGTTGTGTTGAGAGTAGTTGTGGAAAATCAAAATGTATGCTTTTTGCTTGTGAAATGATTGATTTGGTTTTGTTTTGGATGTAACAGAAAGTTTTTGATTGTGTAAATACTATAAATGAAGAAGCTACAAATCTGATGGAACTATATACACATTTGCAAAATCTTGATTTGCTTTGATGCGTTTTTTCGCAGAACTTAAAAGGCAATTGATTCATGTGATTATCCGTAATTGATTTAGTGCTGCAGTAGATTCAGAGACGCACGAAGAAATTGCGATAAAGAAGATTGGTAAAGCCTTTGAGAATAAAGTCGATGCTAAAAGGACCTTGAGAGAGATTAAGCTACTTCGTCATTTGGAACATGAGAATGTAAGGGTTACTACTCTATGTCGCGGAAGTTCTTTAAAACGATTAGAGAATTTCCAGCTAAAGTGGTCTTTATGCTTCTACAGGTTGTCACTATAAAAGATATCATAAGACCTCCAAAGAAGGACAAGTTCGTTGATGTTTATATAGTTTATGAGTTAATGGATACCGATCTTCATCAGATTATTCGATCTGACCAACCCTTGAATGATGATCATTGTCAGGTTTTAACAATCATAACTTTACTTGTTTTCTGGTTTTACTCGGCTATAATTATTTGTTACTGTGATTGACTAATTTACTCTCCTCTTGCAGTACTTCATGTATCAGATTCTACGCGGACTCAAATACATACATTCAGCAAATGTCTTACATCGTGATCTTAAGCCGAGTAATTTGCTTCTGAATGCAAACTGTGACCTTAAAATTGCGGACTTTGGATTGGCAAGGACGACATCTGAAACAGAATTCATGACAGAGTATGTTGTAACACGATGGTACCGAGCACCTGAGCTGCTTCTTAGTAGTTCAGAGTACACATCTGCAATTGATGTCTGGTCTGTTGGTTGCATATTTGCTGAAATCATGACAAGGGAACCTCTATTCCCGGGGAAAGACTACGTCCATCAGCTTAAACTTGTAACCGAGGTATGTTTATGTTTCAGAACGATCTGCATAATTACTGGAAACTTCTATCTCTATGCAGTGTGTTTACAGGTTATTTACTTTTGTCCCCTATGTTTCAAACAAAAAGTTGATAGGATCACCTGATGGAGCGAGCCTCGAGTTTCTTAGAAGCGAGAATGCAAGAAAATACATCAAAGAACTACCAAAGTTCCCAAGGCAGAACTTTTCAACTAGATTTCCTAGTATGAGTTCTACAGCTATCGATCTACTGGAGAAAATGCTTGTGTTTGATCCAGAAAAGCGTATCACGGGTAATTAGAAAACTGGTACATAACATACCTGGACTGGCATAAGGGTGATTGTTAATTGTGGACCATACTCTTTTGTATTGCAGTTGAGGAAGCACTGTGTCATCCTTACTTGTCAGCTCTTCATGACCTTAACGACGAGCCTGTTTGCTCCAACCATTTCAGTTTCGATTTCGAGAACCCGTCTTCCACTGAAGAAGAGATTAAGGAGCTCGTGTGGCTAGAATCCGTGAAGTTCAATCCGACCATTTAAGACAGCATTTTAAGAAGGTTTATGCATATACTCTGATATTGAACAAATTTCGTAGTTATGCCCATTCTTATTGTAAGGTTGCTTCTTATAGCTTTTAAGCTCTGTTTCTGGTTCATCCCATGTTGTTCTTTCTTTTAGTTTTTTTCATTTCTAAAAAAAAGAAAGCTATCTTGTAACACAAGAAAATGTTGTATCAGGATCTTGCGGAGACACCGGTTCACTTTTCTCAGATAGACAAATGCCACAGCCAGTATTAGTTCTAAAGTAATATTTGTAGAAGTTTATATTCATGAGTAGGTGGTTAGGAATCTTCGTAACTTATTAACCATAGGAGTTAGTAAAATTTATCTTAATGTGATGATAACTATATCTATACGTAGGATTTTGATATCAGGACATATCACTGAAACTATCACGACATTCCTAACGAATGAAATTGTCGAAAATTTGACAGGAAAAATTAAAAATTGAATTCCAACAAGTTGGACTAACGACTAACTTATACCAACAAAGGGTTGGACTTGCAACAACTAACATTTTCACTATAAAGAAGGCAAATAATGATAATAGAGCTCACAAAGGTTGGGCAGAGCTTGCAGAAAGATATGTTCATCCCTTATATGAAGAAATATGGACTAATATTTTCTTAGTCTTGTCGAGGATACATTCAACCAAATCTGCCTCTGATCTGCCAGAAAAAAATATATATATAACATGAAACTTTTCATCTATATGAACGAAAGTCGTAAATATTTTGTATAATTTAGCAGTAGATAAAAGGCATATTACTTGTTTTGTGCGTACACAAAGCCCGTTCTGTTAGCGATAGAGACCAAAGCTTCCTTCCATTTCTTGATCCTATCGTCAGTACTGGCCCATATCGCCAAAAGTTGGTCATTGTGTTTCAAGGCACTTGGATTCACCTCGTAGAAGATTGGAATGACTACAAGCATTCCCATATCGATACGTTTCTTGATCTCCACAAGCTCTTCCAAGCAGCATGCCGAGCTTGTGTAACTCTTTGTGATAATCACCAACGCAATCCTCGACTCTCTAATATGGACGAAAATGCTATTAAGTTCGTCTTTTCTAGTAACATCCCCATCATCTATAAATACATTCATCCCATTTCTCTTCAAGGCGGCTTTGAGAAAGCTGGAGAACTTGTTACTGATCTCTGGACCTCGGGAACTTACAAACACTTGTGGTTGTGGCACATTCTACACAAGTTAAATTACAAGTTAGTGAGTGATTAGTCACTAGAGTTAGTCATGATGCATGTAAAATTCAGTTAAAATCAATACAAAAGGGCTCTAAATCCCTAGTCTTGTGTTGAAGATTCAGAAGAGTGAAGAAACCAAAGATATTTGCTATATATACGTAGTTGTCACATTTAACAGGATAGATTGGCTTTAAAGGTTTATGTTACGTACATCTGATACTGAAACGTTGTCTAACATTTCCTTAACCTTCTAGACGATTCCATTGACAAAGGTGGCTTGGTTGCTTCCCAAAAGAAACTGAAAAACATTAGTATACTAACCATGGTTCTAATGGAAGAATCTATCGATAAACAAAATCGTTTTTGAATGTTATAATCTTGAAAGAACTTGTACTTTTGTAGCTGTGATATGTTAGAAATTTCATATTGAGTAGAACAAAAGACTTAATCTTGCATGTGAAAAGACATGACTCATTACTAATAGTGTTTAGATGGATGCTCGTGAACTTTAACAAATCATTCTCAATTAGTTTAAAGATAGAAATCTTTGAACTTTATAAGATCCGGTTAATTTTAAGGACATGTATAAATTATGTTGAGATAAAACAAACCTATCCTTTTTATATGTTAAGCCTAAGCGAGATGCGACCGAAATCAAAGCTCTCCTCCATCCGTCGAACCTATCCTCTGCATCTTCCCAAGCTTTCTTACTGATCTGCCTAGCTTTTTTCCTTTCTTCGTTCTCCAACCGCAGTAGATTGTAGTCGAAAATACTTTGTAGTCCTGCTTGAAGCTTAACATGACAAGTCTCAACTTCGAAGAAGATAGGACAGGAATCAAGCTCTTAAGATCCATTTGTTTCTCGATCTCCACCAACTCGTCCAAGCACCAAGTAGACTCCGGATAATTCTTGGAAAATATCACAACAGTGATCCTCGAATCTCTTAGAAGCTTCAAAAGATCATCATTGATGGGTTTTCCTCTAGGTGCATCCTCGTCCGTTACCACGTTGATACCGTTCTTTATCAACGCGTCTTTGAGGAAGCTAAAGAAGTTATGGCGAACATCGCTGCCTCGGAAACTTATGAACACTTGATGCTGCGGCGGAGATGTGCCCTTCACGGCCAATACCATCTCTCGTTCTGATCCAGGACGAAACTAATTATAGTCTTGTTTAATGTGCATTTTTCTTCCCCCTTGGTCTTTCTTTCTTTATAAATTGTAATGTTTGAATATTCAAATGTTCTCATTTGTATCCATCTGTTCATTATTATTTAGAATGATAATTACAAAAATTGTTCATCTTTTATAATGTTTTTCCCCGACTTGAGATCTATCCGACATCACTAAACCAATAAGCAGGAACTTCCTAGC